AGACATCTGGATGAATCGAAAAAAGTTTGGGCACCTATTTAAGAAAAACGGTATAATTTTTAAAATCAAGTAGTTTTAAATATATATTTTATAAAATTTAATTATTTAAAATAATTAAAATAATCATAACCAAAGTTTAAAAATTTTAATTTTTAAAGTTTAATAATGGATGCATTTAATGGGACGGACAGAGTATTAAAAGAGTGGAATTTTGTACTTGTTATCACAGCTAGGAAGTATGATATTTGTGATTCATCATATTTCACTGCATTGTTGATTTGTGAGTTTTAAGTCACAAATAACCTAGCATTTTATTAAACTTAATTTATCAATTTTATTAATCCCAAATGAAATTATTTTACTCTATTAATTCTACTAGACTTGTTTTGATAAAACATCAAATTGGTTAAATTGAAAGACAAAATTGCGACTCGACTCCACCGTACGCTTGCCTTATTGTCATTTAGCTAGATACTGTGGAAGCTTCATGTTGATGAAGAAGCACCGTTGTGAGTTTGTAGAGCTATTTGATATACGAGAACGTGTTGTCGTTAATGTCATAAATGCCCTCTTGGTGGGCATCGTAGCAGACACAAGGCATCGACCTAGGCCTAGCCCTACTTGTGGTCCAGACAGTCTTCCCAATCCAATAGTTATGTGGGCTTCGATAAAGATCAAATTTGTCTACATAGTCATAACACAAGCTCCTCTATCCAACCACAAACGAGAGGCTTCTTGTCTACCGGTGGCAATGGTAGTTGCAAAAGATTAGATTTGAAGATATCGTTGCTACGGATGGCAAACGGGCGGGTCGGGTGCGGATACCCCCTCCCCATCCCCATACCCACCTAATATTTTTCAATCCACCACCCGCCTACCACCCATGATGGGTAAAAAAATTTATATCCACACCCGTCCACGCGGGTACATTCTCAAATCTATCCCCACACCCACCGAGTCGAGCTAAAATATTGTTGAGCTCACCTCGAACTCGAAAACTTTAAAAGTAGGCTCGACTCGACTAAAAAACTCGCGAGCTAAAAATTATCAGGCTCAACTCGAACTCAAAAAAATTTCAAGAGCTCAATTGAAGCTCGAGACTCGAACTCGATTGAAGCTCGATCCAACTACCACAAATTATAACGTAGGCTCTCCTACAGTGGAAAGACCTTAGGCGAGCGCCCCTCCCAAGTGCAATGGAGGTCGCTCACCTAGGCCATGAACCTTGATGATTGTCCATTGACCTCGTCCATGTAAATATGTTGAAAGGAGGTATATGCCTTTTATTTATAATGTCAAATATGTGGTCTACTCATGTACTTCCCTAATGTGGGATATTGCTCCAGGAAAGTAAGTCTAGCATTTGGTGGAAAGCTGAATCCGTAAAGATCACATTATAAAGATCAACTTACCATTATAAGTTGCAAGAAAAAATAGTTGTAGTGTTTGTTGACTTGAGAGCAAACATTAGGTAAGCACAAACATAGACATGACAAAGAAACAGAAACAAAAAACTCCAAATTCGTTAACAAAACCATCATGGACTAACCTAATGGTGGAATGTTGAGAAATTTGGTGGGTAAAATATTCCCATATGCTGTTGTAATGCAGAGTTCAGGCTGCAAATCTCTTAAATCGGACAAGAAGGTCTTCTATATAAAGTAGAAAAAAATACTTCTTATAAGCAGGTTAGGAAAGTTATTGGCTTTTATATAGTACTATATCTCACAAAGTATAAATACTTCTAGCCTAAGTTCAAGATTATTAGAACAATATGGCAGTAAAATCAGGCTAATTTTGAAGATGGAGTAATAGAGTGCAGTTCGAATTGAAACCTGTTCTATTTGTGAAGATGAAAATTGAAGTGGGTACTCCATGTCTTTCAGGTTTGACAGAGAATCTTAACAACCCAGTAAACTAGATGAAAGTCGGTAAATTAGTAACGTGAACTACAGACGCAATCAAACCCATCAAGATGACTGCTAAATTGCCCTCTTTGTAGACGACAAAAGCAAGCTCTATCATCAAACTGATGAAACGAATATTAAATTCATATACCTCACATTAACACAAATGCATAAACGTATCACTAATATTTGGTTAAATTACAAGTTATATCTTATAAAATATTAGGATTTATAAATTAGTCTCTAAAATTACACATATATTCATAATGGTCTAAAATTTAATGGATATTTAGCTGGGCGGGCGGATGCGGGGCGGGTAAGGTCTCAAACCCATTACCTGCCCACTACCCGCGACGGGTACCACTTTCTAAATCTACACCCGCCCACTACCCACTAAAATTATACCCATCCCTACCCCAATTGAAACGGATGCAGTGCAGAATCCACGAAATTGTACCTATTTGCTATCCTAATTGTTGCCACTCATCGTCAACGAAGGGAAGTGGTAAAGTCAGCAATCTACGCCGCAAACTAACTCTAATCACGTCTTTTACGGGGGGAAAATGAAAGGCAAACGCTATCTATAATTATGATTGATTCCAGCCGTTTTAAAACCCCATTGCCGCAAGAAAACTTCGGTCGGCGGTTCCGCAGCACCCCAACCTCGCACACACGTCACTAACAAATCAACCACCTTCTTGCTTTTTTATTACTCATTCCATACCATAAAAATCATTTGATATGTCAAGACTAGCTATTAAGATGTCTTATTCAATGTTATGCATTTTTGAAGTTTAAGATTTAGGATTCTAGAGTCAAAATTTTAAACTACAGATTCAAAATTATACAAACTTCAATTCACACCATCAACATACAAATAATAATCCTTTCAACAATAGTCTTGCAGTCCAACAACAACTCATTCCTTCTGAAACTTGGTATTTTAAGAAGTTATTATGGTGAATATGAATCATCATCTTAATATCATACCATGAAAACTTAGATATAAAAATACCAAACTAAAATTTAATTTCCATTACAGTAACATGGAAGTGGGTTGTTCTGAAAACAAAACATCTAAATGGGGTGGTTGGTTTGTACAGTAGCACAAGTTAGTTGTGATTGGGTCCTACTCATACCCGAAACAGAAAAATGAAAACAAACAGATGACGGTGTTGCAGGAATCAAGGGATTGCACGCTTCTCATTTCATCACATCTCTAGCAAGCCAACCCCTTTTAGATACTCCTCTTCTCATTTTATTTTTTTCATCACTGGTATCTTATTTTTTTTTACAAATTCATTTTCTAATGATATATGGTAATATATTCTTTTTAAATGATTTGGCTTCAAACAGTTTAATCTATAGATATACATGAACTTGTTTATATTTGAAATTGGACACAAATAAGAAAATATAAACAAACAAGCGGAAGTTTCAAAGCGGTTTTCAAAATCTCTTTGTTTATGGCAGCGGTTGTCCGACCACCACCTTGTTATTTTTAGTTTTAGTTTATCGTATTTACAATAATAATTTCTTTTGGGCATTTTTCTTGTAAAAGGTATCATGACTATCGGTATTTTTAGACTCTCGGTGTAGATTTTTTATTGGTCTTCTCGGTTTTTTATTTTCCTTGCATACATTGTTGATTGTTTTTTCGATGTCTGATTCCTTTGTTCATTGTACAAGACGTTGGTTATCGCATATATTTGGTGGATGAAATTGTTGTTAAGGGGATATCGCTTTTTCCGGTGGTCATTTTGGTTATTCTTCAGGTTTCTCTCCTTCATGTCTGATGCTTGAAGTCGTTGGTGTTTTAGTTTATTGCTTCATTTGTTAATGACTTAATGGTTTTTTTTATCAAACTATATCTAAGCGATCATTGTTATATTTTATTTTTAATAGTCACGATTATATTTGTTCAGTCTATATTTGACAAGACATTTGTTGATGTGGCTTTCGATTAATAAAATATTATTATTATTTAAAAAAAAATTGAACACAAGTATTACATTGTAGATTGTAATTATAATAAAATATTTTAAAAACAAATTTTATATTTCATAAAGTTTGAGATCTATTTTATGTACACAAAAAGTTCAAAATTAAATTCTATTGCTTTTTAATCTAAAAGTCTTTATTTAACTTACATAGCTAATATTATTATTAAATCGTGTTCAAAATTTCACTTATGCAGTTAAATTAATATTATAAGCTCAATAAGTATACTGGCTTATTTCTTTTATTCTAAAAAAATAAATACAAGGACTGAAGATTAAATTTACCAAAATGTAGGACTATAGCATATCTTGACCGATTGCATTGTTTCAGTGACTTGTATTGGTTTTCTTTTCTTTTTGTTTTTTTAATATTTTATTTGTGTATTTGGAGGTTAAATTATGGTTTTGGTCCATCTGATGCACTTAAATTTTGGATTCAATCGTATAGTTTTAGTATGCACTTAAATTATAAACTCAATAAGTATACTGGCTTATTTCTGTTTTTAAAAAGATGTTTTCCATCTTCTTCCTCTTTGGCTTCATTGGCTGACCTGAAGAATCCTACTCTGATGATCATGCTATTAGAATTTAGAAGCCTGGAAAAACATTTTGAAAACCCACTTTTGTCTGTCTCTGTTCCCTATCCCAACACAACCAAAGCCGTTCTTTTTTCTCAGAACACATTAATTATTCTGACAACGAGAGAGAATCTATTCACTCTTTAACGTGGCTCGAACCCAAACCCCCTTCAAAATAATGTCAACTAACACAAGCCCTAGAAAAGTCTCGTAGATTCGATCAATGGAAGCATATTTTACAAAGGGTATCGAGCCCCCATGTGCAGATGTTATTATTAGATAATAGACACTTGGATGCCTTGTATTTCTTTTCATATTTGTATCTACTTTTGGTCATCTTCAGCCTTTAGATGATAAAATTAAAGTTTAGAATCTATGCAATAATTTGTGGCACCACTTTCCCTCTCACAATAGTTGTATAATATTTGAAGAAAAAAACCAAATAAAGTTGGGTAACCAAAGTTCTGGTACTTGCTTCCACAACACAATCTCTCAACTCCTCAAATTTTGACAAATTTTTTCACTGCTTTCTCGTACAACATTGTGAAAAAGAACTAATGTCCTCATCTAATAACCCACCGGGAAACACCTCGGTGGTTTCACTTGAACTTGGTGAAGTAGGTTGAGGAGGAGGACCAAAGACAGAGGTGTCTTCCACTGTGAAATCAATACAACTAGCCATGCTGCCTGCACTACTTGTCTGACTTTTTCTACAACCAAGTCTTTTAGCTTTTCTCTTCCTTCGAATCACCTTGAAAACTAGCCATTCCCCCTCGAACATCTGCAATATAGAAAACCCATAGCCAATATAAGCACTGCTCTTATGAAAGCTTTATTGGCGGCTGCTATATTTGCAGAAATTTGTTACCTGTGTTGGAAATAGGGTTTCTGCTGAGGCAGCAAGGTGAAATTGATGCAAGAGCCACCGAGTCTTGGACTCATTTGAACGCTTCTTTTCACAGAAAACCAAAGCCTTTCTCATCCCAATTACTTGATTGGTTCCGGAAGCTAAAATTGGTTTCTCTTTGCCTATGGACTTCCAGTAACCACAATCAGCTACTCTCTTGCATTTATTGTTACTGTCATTTCCATACCTCCTGCTAAAGAAATACTTGTTTTCTTTCACATCACCTGAAACCCACACAATATTAACAATGATATATATATAGGTTTGATACTAAAAGCATTAACGTTGAGAATGAAACGGATGGACAGACTAACCAGGCAGACTCCATGGATTTGTCTGCAGAACGTCGAACTCGGGAATGACAGAAGCTGGTAAAGGAAGATTCAAAGCTTTTCTCTTCAAGTAATGAACCACAAGCTCTTCATCCGTGGGATGAAACCTATAGCCAATGGGCATCTTCACCCCTTCATTTACAACGAAGTTTTGACCTTCCATGCTAGCTTAAGCTTGTATGTTTTCACTTATCTAAATCCCACAAGTCCCACAGGCCAGGCCAAACGAAAACCGAACTCGAGCTAGCTTAGCTGATTGAAATCAAGCGAAGAAACCCATGTACGGATAGAGAAAAGGAAACTCACAAAGCAAAGAGAGAGAAAAAAAAAAGGCAAAAGAAACCGAAAAGGAAGACTTGTAGGGAGAAGGAAGACTAGAGAGGTTCGTTTTATATATAGGAGAAATGGGTATTGGCTAAAGTGGAAACAACTCTTCTTATTTCTGACTCGGAGAGGCCGGAACTCATTCATTGACTGTAATAAAACAAGTAACCCTCCACATTGCTTTATGTTGACGGGTCTTTTCTTACACAAACGTGTAAGAAATCCTTACCGTTTTTTGGTCAAGGACCTCTCCCTGCTCCTTTTCTGCAACGACCCCACTTTGGTGCCAGTTTTCTATTTTGAGTGGAGCCCTAAAGCCCTCCACTTCCATGGTCCCACCCAACACATCATCCAATGGCTCATATCATTTTTGTGATACGTGATATTTTCATACATTCCATCCCAATCGTCCATTTCAAATACCATCAACTTCATCGCATTATGATTAGTTTAAATAGTTCACCAAATCCTCATAAGAGATGGATGAAACTTTTGAAAAATGACGAGCTTCCGTCTTTAGTGGTTAACAGATTTCTTCTTAATTCCCTCAACTTTGATTTTTGTATTCAAAAGAGGGCAACATCAAAGATTTTTTAAAAGGAAAAGAACGATAGTTGTGGATATCATCAATTAGAAGTGTCAAACGAAAACTGTAAGGATTAACTAAGGTTCCTTGCGGATGATGAAAGGGAAAACCTTCTAATTTACCCAAAGTGAGAAGTGGGATCCTTTTGTTTCCTAAATTGCCTTGAAGTTGATAATGAGATGAAGATTTTGTTGTTAGATTTTTATGTTTCTGGTTAGCCTGCAACTTAATCATGCGGATGGGATATGGTTGTTACTTGTTACTGTGTTGTAATTGTAAGTTTTACTGGCTTAAAACGGAAGTTTTTGCCTCTTTCTTTACTCCCCAACTAGTACTAGATTTACTTCATAATTTTGTTGGTTAATAAACATTAATTATCATTTATCTTTTGACTTTTCTGTCTTTTTTTACAGCTTCTGTTCCCACTAAATTTTAACCGTTTCCCACTGCATAGTTCAAATAAAGGTCTTACGAGGAAAGCAAGTAAAAGTAAAATATTCCATGAAAATTACGTACGCCCTAATGTATCTTTGTTTTCTACAGCAAGTTAGGTAAAAGAATAATTTTAAGAAGTTCATATGAAATATCAAATCTAAGTAAATTATTATTCTTTTACTTGTGTTGTTTGAGCGTTGATTTTCCTTTTATAAGACGTGGGATTCAATTCGAAGTATTCAAAACATGTGATACATGTGAACGTAAAATCATTCACTAAAAAGGATTTTATAATATTCAACTGTTAGCAATGAAATGCATAGCTCATATTTTGTTTATTGGAACTGAATGAATATCAAGCAACCCAATTGTCCGATTTAAGGAAGAATTCCAACCAAAAACGAGTGCCCCCATTTCAATATAATTAAAGACTAGTCATCTTCATGAACAGCACCATAAACGACAAAAAGCAAGCAAGAATAAATAAATAAAACACAAGAGAGAGAAGTCTATCCCAGTTTCCATCCTTTCTTAATCCAAGCCTACTCAACCATGATCATGATATTGATGATGGACAACATCCCATTATTAAGAAATCCCATGTATCTTTTTTAGTTACTTAATACAAAATTTTAATATACTTCTCTAATTTTTTTAAGTATTGTTTAAGCGAGTAGTCTCGTATTTTTCTTATTTTCTTTTGATTTAGATCTAAATAAACATAATATATTTTTGATTTCTTTCTTTATGCGTATCTTGACGCATTTGTTTTTGTTTGGTTTTATCGCACATTTGTTTCTTTGATTTTTTGACATGATTTTCACTATTGTTTTGACAGTTTAGCATTTTGTGGTGCAATTCATCCATCGCATCACACCTTCTGATCATGAAAGATTGATAATATTTCATAGTTGAATCCCTTTTATTGATACATGAGAACCTGCAAAGCAATCTATTAAATCTAATAGATTTATTCTCAATCTCCACACTTACATTAAATTTAATATCGCATCTAAACTTGAACGGACAAAGATAGATCATTGACAATCATTACATCTTTTAAAAGATGTAGCATGCATTTAAGGAAAATTTTTAAAAGATCGTGTTATCTTTATTGTATTTTTTTTAATGAAAATCTGATTTATTATTAAAAAATTAATATAAAGGTTTTATTAATACTCTGTTTTCTAAAAAAAATTATCAATTCAAATCTCGCAGCCATACGTGATTCTATTTGTATTTTATGACAATATGGGTGGAAGGGATGAGGAGATATAAGATGGGGGCCATTATCATGTGTGCCTGTATTTTGTTTACATTGTCATTAATACATTTATATTAAGGATCAAAAGTTGAAACAAAAATTTATATTTCTTAATTTTGTCATTTGTTTAATTATTACAGCTGTTTCATCATGACTTTGTAAATGATATTTTAGGGCGGTGTCTTCCCCACATGTCCTTTCATTTCCATGATAATTGATTGCCCTAATATTCAGATTTATGCATTCTCCTGCCTCTTTCTTTAATTAATTCAATGGATTTGTCATTTCATTATTTTACTTAGCCGAAATTGCTTTTTCTACCTAGTTTGTTGTCTTTTAGTTCATGTTCATGAACCATATAACTTCTTTTTATTCAATTTAAAACATCCGTATATATCAATAATTAAAACTAGTTATATAATACAACAAGATTTTAAATTTTCGTATAATTTATATGTATTTTATATTTTTTATCGATAATTTAAGTTTATATCACGTAAAATTTTAAAATTTTGAATTCTATTGATTTAACGTAACTTAATAAAAATTCAAATTGTTAACCTAAAATATGTTTTCTCTTTTGCAGCTGTCCCGAATTAGTCTTGTCCTAATGAAACAAGAATTAAGGCTTCGTGGTCTACATGATCTCTGTGTTATTCAATAAGCAAGCATAATCACGTGTTTGCATCTATGTTTACAGGTTGTTGGAGTTTAGTGTTATCCTTTCAACGCACCGTACAAATTATCGTCAAGGAAAGACAATGCTTTATCTTGAATTGTCAAATGTCCTCAAGATCATCAAAGCTTAAAACACTTCCCCTAGAATATTCATAGTAACTTTATCTTCTTCCAAGTTTTCACTTGCATGTTGATGCAAGCGTGATAATAACAAACATAGATTCAAATAAAATTTTAAGATTGGATATCATTAATAAAATAAACAATTAATCGGAAAAAAATCGAATTTCAAGATAAATACATACTCATCCTTGTGAAGCTAGGGCTCCGTCATTGGTGACAAGAACCAAAACTTTAATCTCCCCACAACAGTATCAAAATCCTAATTAAATAAAAAATAATTATTTTAAAATTATATTGTATTAGACAAGTAAATTTTATTTTGTGATTGAAAGGTAATCTAATTCCTATAAAATTATAAAAATACAAATTAATATAATGAAGAAATGAAAATTATAACTCAATTATGGTCTTGGGAAATTTTTTTAGTTTCACCCTTAAATGTGCTGGTCATTTGCCCTTTTTGAATAAGGATTAATGCCAAAAATAAGTGCCCAAACTATACCTTTTTCTCCAAATAGGTGCTTAAATTATTTTTTAACTCATCCTGATACTAACGTCACAAACGTTACACATTTAGACGTCGGATCCTTCAACGGTGTTAATTCCTCATAATTGTGCACTTGGGCTCTTAACATATTCTACAAAAGCCAAGCCCAAGGTTCAAACATCAGAAATGGCTGCATGAAGGCAATTTTCAGAGAGCAGCAATTTTATCTACAAACATATAACCGGGTTACATCTTTAAAAGGTACAAGATGGGGTATGAAATGGGCAAAACAATGTGGTTAAGGGCAAGACTTGTGCTGTTGTATCAACTCTGGGATGAGCTTTAACAGAAAGGAGAGCTCTTTCTCTGTGAATTCAAGCTTTGAATTTGCCTCACTCAAACTCTCTTCTCCGATAATCGCTTCGTCCGGCTTAATCATGCTGTCCACCACCGTCCGTGAGATCTCTTCAACAAAATCGAAGATCACTCCATCGATTCCCATTAAATACTGCATGTAAACAGCCTCAGGCACATTGCTGCGATTAAAAAGGCAATACTAAACATTGATACAAGCATTAAAAAAGGTCTTGTTTATAAGCATGTTGCACAATCTAGCAACTTACTTCAGTTTGCCATAAGTGAGGAGAGAGAGATTAGAGCGTTTGATCTTAGACACTGCGCCAGGATCTTTAAACACTCCTTTGATCTCCGAAACAATCCCTTGTAAACTACCTTCCAAACACACCTTCATGGCCTCCTCCAGCGAATTCCTCCGAACATCATAGTAAGTTTTGGTCCCGCCTTCTGTTAAAAAGTGGACCTGTCGGATTTTCCCAAAAATATAAACATTAATAATCCTAAAACCAACCGAACCAAGCATTAAGAATGCAGGTTGAATATCTTACAGGATAGTTGTTCTGCAGCTTCCTAACAAGTTGAGCTGCATCAGGCTGAAAAGTAGAGAAGATTATTGGCCTATCTCTGGCAAACTCAAACACCACCTGCCATAAATTTTACACCAATTATGAATAAGAATCTTTTATTCATCCTTTTAAGATATGTATGTTTACCTGTAATATAACTTGGAGAATGCGGGTGAGATGGTCTTGCTGATAAACCTTGTAGTCATCAAATTTCAACTCAATATTGAAACCTAAAGAAGGCTCCACTTTGACAAAAGCTTCTTGCAATGTACAAAGTGAATCATCAGTTTCAACATTCCACTTCTCAAATTTCCCATCCTTTGTTTTCCTATATAAACACTTCCCTTCTTTCCCTGCTTCTTTCTGGGGTCCGTAGCAAAGGAACTCTGCTAAACACAATTCTGTCACTCTTTTCTCGAACACAGTTCCCTGAAATTCATACCAATTTTCAAAGTTCAATCTTTGAATAATATATATATATTTAGATATGAACAAAGATAGTATGGAAATGAACATACATTCTCTTCAGAGAGGATAACGTCGTCATGGAAAATGACAGGGCAGTCATCCTTCGTTACCTACAAAAAACCACAACGCCTTTCTTTATTTCTTCCTGCGATAAATCTTTTATTTCATTTGACAAAAAAAAAAAAAACAACTTGATCAGTAATCTTTTACTTGGGTTAAGAACCATTCGTATTCATGTGTTCAGCATAATAAGATTTCGATTCTTTCAAAGAATACAACAAATATGGGTTTCCCCAGAAAAAAATGGAGGAAATTTGTAAGAATTTGATGGTTACCTGAACATCAAATTCAATGAAGTCGAGGGGAAATTTAGCAGCAGAGTTGAAGGAGAGAAGAGAGTTCTCTTTGATGGCTTTCATTCTTGAATCAGAGCTTTGTAAAATGTTCATGCCATGCCCTCTGTGCCCTATAAGCAAAAAGTTGGGTATCCTACACGATGTTGCTCTGTTCAATTCCACCCCTACACCAAACCAACACCCAAAAATATAAGGCCCCGCCGTCATAAGGTTCACAATATAACCATCAACATAAAAACAAAGGACAACCTAGATTATAATAATAAACAAGAAACAAAAAATAAATAAAAAGATTGAATTTTAGATTAAAACGTACCATTGGAAAACCGGGTGGAGTAGAGAGAAAGGGAAGCTTTTTCAAGGTTCGGCGCATCGGAGACATGAAAAGCTTTAAGAGCAGCCATTGTTTTATTAAAAAGAATAAAAAGGCTGTACAAAGGGAATTCTTAGAATGATGGCGAAGATGTAGGGAACGAGTGTGGTATTTAAGGAGGGAGAGGGGGAATATTCAATAATTTATATTATAGATTCCCTCCAATTTTGTATCTCTCCGTTATAAATTCCACGGCTCATTGCATTTGTAACTTTGGGCTTAAAGCCCTCAAAAAACGGTTAATTTATCTGCTATTCCCGGATGCATGGGAGTGTCGGTGGAGATTTGGATATCCACTTGTTAAATTAACAAGTGGAAGAGACGTGGAAGGCACTAATTCGTTATGATAATGGTGTTAAATAGTATGGCTAAAATTAGCTAGGAACGTTAATTATATGATTGGTCACTTTTATTGATATTTTATTCACTTTTTTTTATTAATTTTAAAAAATATAATATATAGTCACATTCGTTTGTTTAGGAGACTGTGTTATATGTCCATTTTTTTTATTGATTTTAAAAACATAATATATAATTACAATCGTTTCTTCGGAAGAGTGTGTTGTATGTCGTTCAAGATTAGGAGCAATTGAGTATATACTTTTTTCGGTCTTCGATTCCTTTCCCTTTTCAGTTTCAGATACGGAATTTGGTTTCTTTTAGGTTTCCACATTGAACAATCAAAAAAAATGAAAAAGAAGGAATTATTGTGGGCAGGCTCTGCAATCGGCAATCAATATATGTCCTATGCGGTATAGCTAGAAAAAGAGGATAATACATGTGTAATAACATGTGCACCGTATAATACATCAAAGTTGCTGACTTTTCGTGGTTGTCATTGGGCACTACAAGTGGATAAGCAGTTTATAGACAGACAACCGGCAATGACTGCCTATTGATTTCTTTGTGGTAACACCGCCAATTATTACAAGAACTATCGTTCTTATGAATCGACCAACTCCAGATGTCAAGGCTTTGATGTCGCCAATTCCTGGTTATTTAAAACAGTTTGAACCCACAAATTAAGAAGAAACGAATTGAAAATGTTAACTTTTGCTGCAATATAAACTTAGACAGCAGATGATTTCATCACCTAAACTTCTATGAATATGTTCATGCAGAAGCAACAATTGTATTCACAAATCCAGACCCAGATTCTCAAAGGAAACAAATGTAGATGATACCATAACTATCCCACCTTTTGTGCACATTTTGCAAATTTACCCCATTTGACAAGCCAATCCACAGGGTTAATACAAAATTGGAAACTAACTAAATTCCACAAATACAACATCAAAGCTCACTCTTACACAACCACCACACCAGTTCTTCCTTTGAGGAACCAACACATACACGCACACTTTCAAACACCTCGCCGAAAAGCGAACAATCGAAGAAGGAAGTTAAGCAACCTTAGCGATGATTTCCATATTCCTCTACTCTCAGTATTACATCATTGGTCACGTCTGGGTCTTCTCGGATGCCAAGTTGCTGCTGCTACTCCCAACTGCTCGATTTGAGTCCCCAACTCTAGCTGCCAAAGCAACAACTTCAGGTGACATTTCCCAGCTGCCACTTTTTCTACCCCAACTCGACCGCCTGGCACGATCACCTCTGCCATCTACCGTACTTCTAATTTCTGGGGTCAATTCTCCTAATTCATCCTCCTTAACATTTACACGGTCGCTGACTTGCCCTTCACACCGGTCGATGCCAGCCCCCACATCACCCCACACAGCTTTTCTACCCATTTCTATGTCATCCACGGCATTCCCCATATTTGGACTCATAAAACCACCTGGTTGGGTTGGTAGCACAGGTTCCCTGGGTACCTTTGCCCTGAAGTTGTTCTTGGATGACGGAATGCTAGAACAAAATATTTCTGAGAAATTCCCAACCACTCCTTTATTGTAGGGGTTTTCTCGACGATCATATCGGTATCTGAAATTCTCATATGTTGTCTACAGAAGCAACATACCACGACTGTTACACAATTCTAACAAAGAAACTGATGTAACAATATTTTAACGAACTCTTTGTTGCGGCGTAATTATGTAAGAGAAGACAGGTATCTTACCTGATTTGTACTGATTAGATACAAATGGAAGGCAGTCAAACCACCAACAAACCACATTGCAATGAACGTGTAAACTATTAAAACAATGGAAGCTGGGGTTTTAATCATGGCTCTCCAAATTGTTGTCTCCTCTGATGCCATGATCCTTCTAATGTAGAGCCAACAGAATGCAAAAACATATATACAAAGAAGGGTCGTAGATGACACAAACATGAAGAAGAATCGGTAATTTCTCTGCAACACAAAAAGAAGATTACTCTGAGTGAGTTTCAATAGCAGAACACCCCTCCAAACATAGCATGTTGATGACCTCCATTAAAAGAACTACAAAAACATTGTCATTGTCCTCTTCAATGCCAATTGTGTTATCCAAACGACAACTCGTACCGCTAAAAATCAATAAACACAACTTTAGATAATGCGGCACAGATATTTAGAATGCACACACAAAATGGAGGCCTCTTATTTTTAATATTTTCCATTACCATTGAATGATAGGAATGCATATGTTCTTTGGATGTTAAAGAATAGGACATTATTCTAAAGAAATGATCACATACCAGTCCGATACATTATTCTAAAGAAATGATCACATACCAATCCGATACATTGCCCAACCCAAGGGCAGTGGTGATCAAATCGTTCTACACAGTTATTGCAGATAGAACAGTGTGAGCAGCGAGGAGGCCTATAAAGCATGCAAGTGTCACAATACTTGATCTTCACAACGATTCCATTGACCTCCACTTCTTTAATGCGTGGCAATCGTAACTGTGGAGTTTGACCTGAACCAGCATCCACATTCCCATCAAAACCTTCTGGCTCTGGAGGGTGTGCATTGCGCGGAATTATACCAGGATCTCTTCCAGATGTTAGTAGTAGAAGAACTAAATCCTAAAAGAAGACAAAACACATTTATGAGTTTTAACATCCGTTGCTTCTCCAAAACTCGAACAAATGCTTGTAGATGCCAATAGACAGCCAGAAAGTCAGGCCAACTGACACTCGGGGCTATTCCGATTTCCAAATAGTATTTGCTCCAATAATCAAGGCAATCAAACACACTACTGGTAATAAGCCAACAGAACAATTAAGATTTACTTTACATGGTAGAATTCTGTGGTGCTCTTGTACCATGAATAAATGCAAACCTGATCAGTACTGCTATCCCACTGTTTATACTATACTAAACTACCATTAAAATATGCGAATGGAGGCAAGGAGACCATATAAATTACGATCACAAAAAACTTGCAAATCCGAGTCAATGTCTAACCACTAAGGAACAAAAGGAGGACTTACAAATTATGACCAGGAAAAATAATGTAATGAATTAACAGTAGATGGGAGAAAGAAATAACACATCTACCAGAAACCCCAACTGAGTGGAACCATATTATCCATCATAATCCTAACAAATAACAATTTTTTTGCGCAAATATAGCAACTCATTCAAACATGAAATTGTAAAGAGACTTACATAGAGAGTGAAGACAATAGCAACAGCCATGATTGAAATACCCAAGTGATTAGAGAATTCATCCATCAATTTCGTGGCAACAAACGCACAGAAAATGGACACTGGAGCTACTACAAGTAAAATAGTCAGCCCTAATGATCTTACATCTGGTCCAAATATAAACCTCCCTTGAAATAAAAATACCTACAAGCATTGAAAAACAGAACTTAAATATGATAACTTGCAGAAGTTCATGGATAAAAATGTTTTCTTTTTAGTCCCTAATAGCAATTGAAATTACAGTATAAGTAGAAAAAAATAGGGAAATGAAGGGTTTTGAAGGAAATACGATTCTAAACATTCCAAAATAGGATATAATAGTAAAAGATGAGGGAGCTTACATTGCTGCCTTTCCAAGTTTGGTAAACCCGTAAATCACTCGACCCGCCGGCTGTAGACGCCGGATCCGATCCATGGGGTGGCGGCACCACGTACATCTTCTTCTCGTTTACTCTCTAACTCTCAGGAGAGAAAAAAAAAAGCAAAAAAATTAAAATATAGGAAAAGGAAAGGAGCTTTGAGGAAACAAGGAAGGAGCTTTCAAGTTGAGCAAAGAAAGGCCATAGGAGGACTGAGTCAGGGCCGGGTGAGTTGAAAGAGTTATGGCCGAGTCGGCGACAACGCACGAGCTATTGAGGAACAAAGTCCAGGGCACGTTGTCTGTTTTTTTTTAGAGCTGGGAGATTCTTGATTGATTGATGGCTGTGTATCCGAGCTTTACAGTGAGGAATGTGATGATGTTGGCAATGGCTGAATTGGACCGGTTGTGGTGGGTGAACCAAAATTATCAACCTACGCTGCCGAACCCAGATGTGGGCCAATTCCGTTTGGCCTTTTTAACATTTCTTTTAGTGTATATTTGTTTCCTTGTAAATTTTTATGTGAAATAAATTATATTTTTTAATAAAATGGCATTTAAAAATTATTTTATAATATCTGGATAAAATTATATAAATTATTTTATTTATTGGTAATTATTTAAAAATTATGAATTATAATTGTTGAATACAATAATTAATATTATTTATTATAAAAAATTATATTATTTTTAAATATTATAATAATATCATAGAGAAGAATATTAAATTTAATAAATTAAAATTAAGAGAAAACTTTTAATCATATGATGACATGTGTTACGTTATGTTTGGAAGATTAAATTTATTGAATTAAATTAAAATTAAAATCAAATTAATAGAGTGTATAAGTATTAAGGACTAAATGTATAATTGTATTAATTTTATTAACTATTATGTTAATATTTTCTTCTTCTTCTTTTTGAATGGAAATGAAGGTAAAGCCTTTAAAGCTTAAGAAGCAGCATTAGGAAGGCTGTTAATATCATGTTGGAGAGCGGATTGAACAAAGGCTGGGATACTGTCGATGAACGTTTGAGCTGAAGATTGCTGAAGAGGGAACTCGACAACAGCGTCTGCAGCGATGTTGGCTTCACGGTTGATGAGTTTGTAGTCGAGTACCCAACTCCGTTCTTGAAAGACGGTAATGGCACGGACGAGAGAAGACGGGTTGCAGCAGGCGTTTGGAGAAGAGACCATGATAAAGACATCGTAGCTATCACTCTGGCTCAAATCCTTGAGACCAAGAAAGCTGAAGACCTTCAAATAATCCCACAATTCAGCTTGAATAACGGTTGTGGTACCCAAAGGCTTTGTAAAACCGCCTAGCCAAATTCCTTGAGAGTCTCAAATAAGCCCCCCAGCAGAACCGTGAGAAGAAAGCTGTGACACGGCTCCATCAGAGTTGAGGGCTATCCAGCCTGAGGGAGGCGCTGGCTAAGCAAATTCAAAGGAAGACGAGCGAGCAGCGTTAGGCTGGATACCGGAATGTTTATCATAAAGATTGGCCCAGTATAGACTCAAATGGAGGAGGTTGCGAATCGGGAGAAAGGTACCCGTGAAGACAAAAGCATTTCTTCTTTTCCATAATTGCCATGCAAGGGAGGAGAACAACACGTTCCAGGGCAAAGCAGTACCTTGAAAGAGGCAAGAAGTTCTCAAATTAGAGAGGAGCTACTGGTCGAGCGGGAGATTGAAGACATTATTGATCGATGCTCGGTGAATAATAGAGAACCGAAGACTTCTAGTTCTTGGACAGTCCCGAAGAATGTGTAGGGTAGATTCTTCATTTGCTCCACAAATTGGACAAGGAGGATTGTCCGAAAGGAGACGATGATAACGATTCAAGTTTGAAAGGAGTTTATCCCTTACGGAAAGCCATAAGATGCAACGTAGGCATTCGGGAACAGCAATACGCCAAAGAATGAGTCAATCTTTATTATAAGGATCCCAACTTTTCTTAGTTAAAGTCTGGTAAGCGCTCTTAGTAGAAAACGCCTCATTGGTAGAGCCGGACCAATAACATCTATCAGCACCTGGATTTGGAAAGGGAGTGAGGATGGAATGGAAATGTGATAGAGCTGAATGGTGGATAAGTTGCAAAAGCATCTCCCAATTCCAATCTCCTGAGCCATTGACTACATCATTAACCTTTAGGCTTAGATTAATAGGGGCATTATCCAATTTCCAATCAATGAGAGGACCAAGCTGGGGAATCCAACGATCGGTCCAGAAGGTGGTAGCATCGCCATTACCAATGCTCCAAGAGATATTGGATCGAAAAGAATCCCAGTATCTAGACAAGGCTGTCCAGAGAGAGGAACAATTTGGCCTTGCAATGGATTTCTGACATCTCTCAGAGATTTTGTACTTGCTGTGAAGAATGGAGATCCAGAAGTCATTCTCATTATTAAGAATCACAAATGAGATTTTCCACAAAAGAGCAATGTTGTGAGATTGCACGGCTCGGAGACCCAACCCTCCACAAGAACAAGGCTGAGAAATGGAGTGCCAATTGACAAGAGAGACATTGGAGGGGCCCCAAAGAAATTTCCGAATCAAACGTTCGATGTCATTACAAACTTTCACCGGAAAAAGTTTTGATTGCATGAAATATGTAGGAATGGCTGCAAGCACATATTTAACCAGCTTAAGTCGACCCGCAACGGAAAGGGTGGAGGCATCCCAATTATTCAGCTTTTTTTTTTTTTTCATTTTCTCGATTATATGCCAGAAGGAATTACAAGTGACCCGCTTGTGAATTACTGGAACACCGAGATAATTTCCAAGATCGGCAACTTGAGTGTATCCTAGCAGAGAACATATCGAAACGGAAGAGTTAGGGTTTGTATTGGGGGGAGAAGATCTCCGATTTTCATGGATTAACCATATGACCGAAATAGAATCCGAATTCGCTAAGTGCCTCATGGATTTGATGAGCTTGCTCGACGTTAGCCTTGCTATATAGGATTAGATCGTCTGCAAAAAACAAGTGTGAGCGGGAAGTGCAATTACGAGCAAGGAGAAGAGGCTTCCAAGAACCATTATCTACCAAGCTATTAATCCGGTGACCGAGCCTTCCCATAGTTAGCACAAATAAATAGGGCGACATAGGATCGCCTTGGTGAATGCCTCTTGACGGAGTAAAGGGGTTACTCAAGTTGCCGTTCCATTGGATTTGTATAGAATAAGATGAAACGCAATGCATGATTAAGGCAGACAGGTGAGGAGGAAACTTAGCATCCCGTAGAATATCCCGAATGAAGTTCCAATTGAGCCGATCAAAGGCTTTCTGGAGGTTGGTTTTGACGGCCATCCAACCTATTTTACCTTTCTTCTTCCTCATGGAGTGGATTGCTTTCTGATTCAAGATGATGTTTTCCATGATATTCCTACCCGAGAGAAAGGTCGTTTGATTGGGAGGAATAAGACTTGGAAGAATTGGAGCAATAGGTCGGATGATAATCTTAGTGATTAATATATAGATGAACGAAATTAAGGCAGAAAATCAGAGAAGGTGGAAGGGAGGAGATGCCTTTCGATATTAGGGCCAGAACAGTATTGTTAATGACATGAGGGATCTCCTCGCCTTGGAAAATTCTTTGAACGATATTACACACCGAAGGGCCAACAGAATTCCAGTGCTTTTGGAAGAATTGTGCATGGAGGCCGTCGGCTCTAGGGGCCTTTAATGGTGCCATAGCGAGGAGGGCACTTGGAATTTCATCTAGAGATGGGATGGAGTCCAAAACCTGCATATCTTCTTGTAGAATTGGAGGGAACGCACCATTAATAGGAAATGGGTCATTATGAGTGATTTCGGCAGCAAAAAGATTCTGATAAAAGCACATCGCTTCTTCTCTGAGAATTGAATCATCGTCGCACCAATCACCAGAGGAAATTTTGAGAGAAGAGATAGTGTTCCTACGCTTTTTTAGAGCTGCCCGATTCTGGAAGAATTTGGTGTCCCGAGTTGATCCATTCAGCGCGTGATTTTTGAAACCAGAAATGCTCCTCATGGTTAAGAGTTTCTTCAAGCTCATTCATAAGTAGTCGTTCAAGGTTAATTAAAAAAAGGATTCTCTTGATGTCAAGTGAACATTGAATCCCTCTTAATCTAGCCATTAACATTCTCTTCTTTTTACCAATTGAACCATAGACCGAATTGTTCCATTCAGATGCAGCTGAAGCGAAGTGTTGGAGGGTGTCCGAGATAGAACCAGAATAGATCCATGTATCGCGGACGAATTGATCAAATCATTATGGAGCGACCATCCAGAAATATAACGAAACTGATGAGAAGCAGCCCGAGTAACATGATGACCGAGGCAGATTAAATAAAGGCCGATGATCTGACTTCATACGCAACAAATGTTGCACTATAGTATCTGGGTAAGCTTTCAGCTAAGGTTGATTACAGAGACTTCGATCAAGGCGAACCGAACAGTTTCCCAGAATTAACGCATCCCATACGCTCGGTCGAGTTGAGGGTGACATTAAAGTCTCTGGAAACGATCCAAGGTTTAGTTATGGAGGATGCAAGCTGTCTTAGGTAGTTCCAGAGAGGTTTACGCTTGTAGGCTTGGGGACTTGCATAAACAAACGTGGCAAGGAATGTACCTTCAAAGTGTTTATGGTGGACACGGCAGTGCATGAACTGGAAATGGGAAAAGAGAATTTCGACATTCAGATGATCTTGCCAACACAATCAAATACCACCAGAAAAACCATCAGCTTCAATCCGGAAAGAGTTTGGAAAACCAAGGGCTACAATAGCATTATCGGCCCTAGAATTGTTGATTCTAGTCTCAACTAAGCAAACCATGTCAGCTTTGGAATTTCTCATATACTGACGCATAATTCTATTGAAGTTACGGCTGCCGCAACCTTGAACGTTCCAAACAAAGATTTTAAGGATCATGATCAATGTTTAAGGAGAGAAGAACGCTATTCAACCATGGCCAAAATGCCATCAACCGGGTTTCCATTTTGCACCTGCACCGAGACCGTGCCTGTAGACGAAGACGACAGTAGGGGAGGATTGTTATCAGCATTAATATGGACAGCAGCATGCTTTGCGGGATCAAGAATAAGAGAGGAAGAGGAGGATCTTGACAACGAAATACCTTTTGGGGTAGGATGGTCCGAGGGCTTGCGGGAGGGAGGTCAATGAATGGTAGTCTGTTGCTTGCCCGAGACGGGTAAAACGGTTGGCTTCTTTAAAGTGATTTGAGATTTATTCTTAGGTTTCGGTTTGGAGGCTATGCTTGCGGAGGGAGTATTCAAGTTAATTGCGGGGTTATTGGTTTAAATTGGGAAGGAAGAAGCAACTTGATTTGTGGCTGATTAGAGTCGAAGGGAAATCGGGGCGAAAACAGTATTTTGTGTGGGAACAGGCTTTGGGGGAGTTAATTTCTGCTTGAAATCCTGAGGTAGAGGCAGCATGAGGATCACTATCAGGCACAAAAACAGGGTTAAATTTGGACTAGGATAAAGGAATTTCCTTAGAAGGAGCAGATGAAGGCAATGATTGATGCGGTTTTCTTTTCTGTTTACGTTCCACAATCATCCAGAGGCGACTGAGGTTGATCAGAAGAATCAGTTGTTGTAACAGCAAGAGGACACAGATCTTTCGAATGCCCGTATGTTCCACAGCTGAAGCAGATAGAAGGTAAATTCTCGTATTCTATCAATTGAATTGCGCCATTGATGATTACTTTTGACAGCAAGGGTTTTTTGAGGTTGATGTCAACAGCCATACGAGCGAAACGGCCTCGGCATCCGTTGTCCGTTTAATAATCAATTTTAATGGCTGAACCAATAGTGTTGTCAATGGCTGAACCAATAGTGTTGTCAATGGCTTCAATCATGCTCCTTTTGTAAAGAACAACAGTCGGGAGGAAAGGCAAATGAACCCACGCCATGATTCGGTTTGGAACGGATTGGCTTGGCTGGAAGTCCGTCGACCAAGGTTCCACGGAGAGGTAGTGACCAAAGATGGTCCAAGGCCGTTCGGTGAGGACTTTGAGATAGTCATTTTTCGCTCTAAACTTCGCTAAAAAGTAATCATCATCAATAACCATGAGCTCAATTTGACGTACGAGTTGCCAGATATTGAAAATCCGATTATGGAGGGTGTTGTAACTTACTCGTCGACCAAGAACCTTTACAACTAAGGTGAGGTCCATGCTTTTGATGGTGAGCTGCTGAACTCGTTCAGAAAAGTTAATGGAAGGACACTAACGGTAACATCAGCGTCGAGCAGTTCTATATCATCATCGTTTAGATCAAGAAGGTCATCATCGGGTTGGGGTTGCTGCTGGCCAGTCACCATGTCCTTATAGGAAAGATTGTGGAATGGGAGGATGGGAACCATCGCAGTCTATGTCCGAGGAGGAGAGATTGCCAGGGGTCACTAGGGTCATGGGGAAGTTCATCACGCCGACGGGTTTTCTTGGCAGTAGGTAGGGATGGCAAAAGGGTACAGTTTCGTGGATTCCGCACCGCATTCGTTCTAATTGCAGCGGTGATGAGTATAATTTTAGCGGGTAGTGGGCGGGTGTGGATTTATAAAATGGTACCCGTCGTGGGTGGTGGGCGGGTAATGGGTTTGAGATATTACCCGCCCCGTATTCGCCTCGCATCCGCCCGCCCCACATCCGCCCGCCCAGCTAAATATCTATTAAATTTTGGACCATTATGAATTTAGGTGTAATTTTAGAGACTAATTTATAAATTTTAATATTGTATAATATATAACATATAATTTATCCAAATATTAAGGATACTTAGTCTTTAATCTGGTCTTTAATTAGGGAAATATTCGGCTCTTTGATTCAACCCATAATCCCACTAACCACGTTATTTTCCATGTTTTTTAGCCCATGTTGCCCATCCAAACACAAATTAGTCGTACTATAAGCATTAACATCAAAAGCAACAGTTTCCATGTTCTTTAGACCCTCAAAACCCATATTAGGCGCACTATGAGCATTAACATCGAAAGCAACACAACAATCCAGCTCTGCGACTACATGCTCCCTACAATCTGTCTCCATAATATTCATAGAGCTACTCCTCTGACAAATTGAAGCATGCGCTGCTACCCCATCACGAACTGTCTGGGAACCAACTCCAACATCCCATTAGATTGCTATCAGGCGGGTCTAGATGGGTATGTCGCTAGTGGGTAGTGGGTGTGGGAATGAATTTGAAAATGTACCCGCGTGGGCGGGTGTGGATTTGAAAATTTGTACACATCATGGGTGGTGGGCGGGTGATGGATTGAAAAATATTAAGTAGGTATGGGGATGGGTATCCGCACCCGACCCGCCCGTTTGCCATCCCTAGTAGTAGGGTTGGAAGAGAGGGAAGTCATCGGGGAGTTGTATTATAGTGATATTTTTAGAATGGTCTAAGAATCGAAAATTAATGGTAAAAGAACTAAATAACTAATGGACAGGTGATTTAATTGACATTGTTCAAATAACTAAATAATTTAATTGATAAAATTTAAAAATTGATAGTCGAAATAAAAAATAATAATAGTTAACCAAAATATTAATTACGCTTGATTGATGAAATTCATACATGCAACAACCATGTCCATGACCATGATTGCATCTGATTTACACCATTACCTGCCTTTGGAATTCACGAGGATGGAAGTGCAAAGATTAAACAATGAACATTGGCATTGCCTTTTTCGAAGATCTGAATATTTTAGAATATAATTACTAAAAAAGCATCATCGAAACAATTGTCAGAATCAATGGACACAATCCGACAATCAACGTGAAAGAAACATCGATTATGGAATTTAGAATCAACAGGTTTGAGGAAATTAATAAGATAAAATTCATATTTTGATAGAGAAGAAAGAAACATTAGTGGATCAAGAATAAAGGTCTTCATGCAAAGATCATCTCGCTAACTGAAAAAAAAAATAATGCATTGAAGGTGACAGAATTGCAGGTTCAGCAATTACATCTTATTATATGTAAATAAAAGTTTTCACAACATTTTTCCTAGAACTACAATATGATCGGAGCAGGTTTTCATCTATTGTTCCATTGTCCGAGAGATGGACTCCGTATAGTTCCAGCCGATTAATGTCGCGTGGAATTGGAGATTGCCAAAGTCCCTCCCACCATGCCGGCGGCAGAAGTGGTGTGAAAGCACACTGATTCGACTGCCCCCGACAACTCAACGGACCGGCAAATCGGTTCCATACATGCCCCCACCCCACCTGAAGATTCAATCCTTCAGTCAATAGATTACCATGGAAGCTGCTTAGGAAAGAAAAATTTGAAGCCGTCGAATTTTCCCCTAAACATTACAATCAAGGAGCTATAAGATACTGCATCATCAATGAGTGGAAAGAACGATCCAGCAAAATAAGCTGTTAAAAGCAATAAGCCACGAATGAATACGAGGAGCATTGTTACCTATACTGTTTGCTGCAGCTAGTGCAGCAATTAACTGCGCGTATGTAGTTCCAACACGCCTGTGTGCCCCGGAAACAACTGCGTGCTTTGCACGAGAAGCAAGAAAGAAATCCACAAAAGCAACCCATCTGGGTGCCGGCCCCCAATCTTTCAATCTGAAGTCCAAATTTGTTGACGCCTTGGTATTATACGACATATTACCTCTGAAAAGTTCATAATCGAAAATAAGAACCTGAGACGAAAGTGCAGCTAGATCAGTATACCTTATTATTCATTCATGAAGGTTTCTATCGTTTTAGATTGAATTTCATTTTGGAGATGGGGGCCAGAATTCCAAGCTTATTTACCTCAGAAAATTCACTTATATTCGGTACAATGCTTTTAACGAAAGATGGGGTATCAGATACTACAACCACCCTGGGTCTTGACCCCGGCTGTAATCTGCTTGTTGCTCGTTTGAGGCAGTTCAGTGCAGCCTGTGCAGCTCTTATAGACCTGAAGCACAGAAAACAAGAACCAGTATCCCTAATCAGTTTATATACCCTCCAGATGCGTATTGATAGTCTTCAAGATTGTCAAGTATGATTTTAAAGAGAAAAGCCATTTAGAGTATATTGACTCAATTTATGTAAGGGTTTTCAATTTTATCTTTTTAATACTTTTCATTACTCCAAAATAGATTGCAAGTATACCTATTCATAAGCATACGCATGTGCAATGTAATATCAGGGTCCCTACCCCCACCAAGAACCCAATTGATTGCTTCCTCAACCTCTCTTGAAGGGGAAATGAGAATTCTCATCAGTTCACCAAATACATTAGGGTGCCGTTGAAGTGATTCTGGCTTCCCAAATAACTTGGATGCAGCATCCCTCATTTCAGGATGTACGTTCTTCAAGAAAAATTGAGCTCCCACAGCATCATTGGTACCTTGATACCTGAAATATTATAGCGGTTAATTGTGCCAAAATAATCACAAAATCTACAAGATATATCAGTATAGTTCATACTCTACCATATAATAGGTTGCTGCCACTTCCTCCAATTGCTACAGAGGGCATTTGTTTTTGCTGGCTTCTCAAAATCATCAATCCTCATTACCAGATGCCTTCCATAGTTTTGTACACAGCCATTTTGTCTCCAAAGCTGCTTCACTTCTCTCAAGGTAAAGGTGTGATTGGAATACAATATGTAGTCCCCAAAAGGATACTTACCCCTAAAAATAGGAAGGTAAAAGTATAAGTGAATGCAAGAAAAGCACGAACATAGCCGCAATGTCACATATGCAAAGACACTACCATGTGCTCCTAGTTAGTATATACATAGCGGGGAAAATGCAAACAAACTGGACTCTTACAGCACGAATTTTATATCAAGGTGTCCCTAAAAGAGTAGTTGTACAAATAAGAACATTTAAACACAAAACAGAAAGGATTGAGAAAGAACCAATGTGCCTGGTTTGCCCAATGATCAGCGACCGGTTCAACATTATACTTAATGCTGCACCAGTTAACATCTTATACATTTCATTCCCGAAACCAGCTTCCGACGATTTCCCCATCACAAATCCATGTTTACAGAACTGCTCTGGAGGAAGCTCACGAATTCTTGGAGCGCCTGAAAAAGGAAATTTTTTTGACGTATTTTCTGTCAAAACGGACAAAATCGACGCCTTTAAAAGGATTAATCTTATATATGATTTTTGTTTTTAATGCCCTTCGTCACTTTGATCCTCATTAATTGAAAAATTCAACATCAAAATTTCATGAAAATGGAAGTATTCTTCATGGACATTAGTACAGTTTCCATTGGCAGATGACCAATTTTAAACGCCAGGAGATTAAAGTTCGATTTTTGGTCATTTCAATCTTAAAGTCAAAAGGCAATGTTATTTATCTAAGAACAAAGGGGAAAAAAGGAAACATATTTAATTTAACAATGGAAATCGAGCCAAATATAATTACGCATTATAAAGACACCGAAAACTAGTTATAATTACCGTTTATAGAAAAGTGACGTTCAATAATTCTTCGAACTCTAAGACTCTCCTCCAAAATCGTCCATTTAAAAGCGTTCCCCATTTCCTCCACCGTCGCGCAATTCTTCGGCGAAGATTTCATCGGCCCCGCCGCAGAAGATAAAAATCCATCCCTGAGCTCCACCTGGGCAGACAAATCCAGAATTGCTCCATTCGCCGTTGTCGTCAATGGCTGTTCATCGACGGATCTTAGATTCAGCAGCAGCCAGCTTATGAAAATAAAGGCAGCGCAGAGAATTAGAAACCACCGCACGAAAGCGCGCTTCCTCCTTGAAACGCCATATCTCATCTTCCTTGTTTTTTTTCCCTACGATTGGAAATTTGATTTGATTTTGGAGTTACAAGTGCGGAGGGGAGTTTCGTTAATGGATTTCATTTTATTTTTTAAATTAAGATTTATTTCTGATTACAAAGATAGCGTCGGTGGCCACAGCCAACTTTTTCTAAATTTAATACTGGGTAAAATGCATAATGATCACTAAAGTATTAACAAATTTCTTTTTTCAGTATTAAAGTTTTAAAAATGATTAAAATAATTACTAACATTATCATTTTATAACAAATTGATCACTCGATCATTAAGTGACGTTACTCGTATCATAGAAAATTAATTTGACACATTTGAAATACTAAAATATCATTATTAAGCCACGTCAGATCACGATTAATTAATCACTTATTAATATCTTAACAACGATTATCATAAATTGATATTATAATAATTTTGTATAATTCTACGCTCATATGTTTCCCTGCTCTCTTTCTGCCTCGCACATGCTCATCCTTCGTCAATCCACTACTTGCAATACATTAAACAGAAAAATGTATTGCAAACAAATAATGTTATTATTTCTGAATGGAGTGTTAAGAATATAGCAACTATCCATTTTAAACCCAAATCGGGCTACTCATGTAACCCCAATAGTTTTTAGATATCCAAAATTAAAGCTAAACACAACCTTCAGGTGTTTCTATCTACAAATGTCGTCTGTGACATGTAATAAGCCTCAAAATCGAAGATCCATACTTCAAAAATGGCAAGGTTTTGCTTTTAAGAGCATTCGAAATATTACACTTTTTAAATAAATTGTCACGGTTGCTTTTAAGAGCATTCGAAATGTAGACATTCGTTTTTGTCCGGGCTCGAATTGTCACGATTGCTTTTATTTATTATTATTATTATTATCATTTTATTAACAATCTTTATTTATATTTTTGTAGGCCCGAATTGGCTCAAATTACAAGGCCCAACAAAACCCATGCATCCAAGCCCACCCGATTTTGAGCCAAGACTGGAGCCCAATAGTAGACCTGACTAGAGCCTAGTTGCAGGACCCAAGACGATCTGACCTGACCCAACAGCAAAACCCTAGGGTTTCTAAAACCCTAACCCTAAGGAGTTGTTATTACCATTTTCGCCTCTTGCTGCCGCCGCTGATTGCTCCTGCCGTTGCTGATTGTTTCTGACACTGCCAGTGACTGAAAATCAACATCCACAGTAAAAAAAAGAAGCCAAATCAATCAAAGATCCCAATAAAAAATAATAAGAAATCTAAAGCAAATCCTAGATTGTCAATCGCTGAAAATATGATAATCACATTCTATTTTCTCAGTGGCAGCACAAATCATCACCAAAACCAACACATGCAAGATAAAAAGAGGAGGGGCAACCAGTTTCGGAGAAAAAGAAAAAAAAGAAGAGCATAGAGAAAAAAATCGAAGAGAATACGGAAGAGAAAATGAGATTAAAACACAAAAAAAGCATCCAAACAAAAAAAAAACAAAAAGAGAATAGGACTTACCGAGTACGACGTTCGTCGAAAGCAAAAAAGGGTCATCAGATTTCAAGTTTTCGAAAGGTAAAACCTAGATCTAGGGCTTTAGGGTGAGTTTTAGGTTAAAGGGGGCTAGGATTCGGGTCACGGAGGATGTGAGGAGTATTTGGGAGGTGTTTTACTCCCTCCGGCCGCCATGGGCGGCCGTGAATTGTCGCCAGTGAATGGTGGTTCCCTTTCCCAACAAGGAAGTTGAGAAAGTTTGTAAACTCTCTTTCCTCTTTCAATTTGAAATGAAGCAAATGAAATGGATGGTCGATTTTGGCTTAACGACGTAGTTTCGATAGGGGGCAGGGTTGTATTTTAGCGTATGGGATAATCACAATTTCAGTCCCTCTCTCTTTGTAATTTCATCTTTCGGTCATAGAATGAAGTATTGTGTTATTTTTTTAGCACTTACCTTTCAATATTTTTATTTAAGTCATCATCTTATATGTTATGTCATTTTGTTAATGTTTGACTCTAGTCATGATATTTGTAAATGTTTCATTTCAGTCATCGGTTTGTATGTTGTTGCTTTTAGGTATAATTTTTATTTACCCTTATGAATTTCTAGTTTGTTTTATTTTGGTCCTGCATGTTGCTTTGGGATTTATTTATGTTTTAGTACTCATGTTACATGATATTTGCACATTAGCTATGATTTCTTATAGGTTTATTATTATACCTATATAGTTGATGTTCTTGCTATTTAATCCTTATTTACTAGGTATGATCAAGTTCTTTTATTCATATTTTAGTTTATCGTGTTTGTATATATACATTTTAGTCCAGGATTGTAACTTTGTTTTTATGACCAGTTATAATTTCATATATATACAAATTAAAATAATTGTTGTAAGCCTTATTTGTATGAATTTTTTTTATTCTTTGTATTTTATTATGCGCATATTTATTTATATATTTTAATTTATAATTTTTTATTATAGTTCCTTTACATATTTAAATATATATTTATTTTTAGCTATTAATTTACACTCCTTTATTTGTTATCACTCGAATATTTTTCAAGAACATTTATTTGTAGAATGGGAGTAGAAAGCACCGCTTGATCGAAGCAGTGTGATCTGATACGACATTCAAACGAATGATGACCTTGAATTAAATCGATCATCTTTTAAATTATGATCATACAAATTTTGATATTTTTTCTAAATAATTTAATTTATTAAAAGAGATAATATTCTTTTACAAATAAGAAATAGGTGAGATAACTTTCCCGATGGAGGATTGTAAATCTCGAGATTTCTTTTCAAGTTAAAGAATTTTATTTGATAATTAATTCAGAATAAATTACTTATTGTTCAATAAATGGATCATACTTTAATTATCGATGTGAATTCATGATTTCCACCATTTATGATAATATGTAAGCGACTAAGTACCAAATTTTTTGGTGTTGTCGCGTAATCGACTTACGAACCCTTAAAAATGAATTTTTGGATAACATAGACAATTTTGTCTTAAAAAATGATTTTTCTTAAAATTGTTTTAAAATATGTTTTTAGGTATTCGACCTACCTAACCCAAAGGTCGATGGCGACTCCCATTCAATTTAATTCAAATTAATACAAAAATCATCAATTTTTTTTAAATACAATCATAATTATTTTTTAAATATTAATTGTTTTTCTAAAAAATGGTTATGAAAACTTGGCGACTCCACTGGGGACTTTATAGAGTCAGATTGTAAGTCGTTTGCATATTGCCATTGTGGTAGAAATCATGAGTTCGAGTCTTTAGATAATTTATGATCCATTTATTGAAGTTTTTCCGATTTCTTTATTTCTTTAAATTATCGTACTAACATTTCAATTTACGTTTTCAGCTTTGTCAAGGTTTTTATCAAGTTTTTTTTGTTTTCCTTTTTGAGTCAAATGTTTGTACGTTTCTCCTCATACACATCACAAGCATTTACACGAAATGAGCTCTAGACCCGAGCTTCGTCCTAAGTAAGTGGGGGTGAACGCTTTACTCTCGTAAGAATTTATTCTTCGTATAAGTTTTAAAAAATAACCCCTGGGGTACACATACCTTATACCTTCGTAGGAATTTATTCCTCGTAGGGGTATAAGAAAGCGAATACCCTCGAATTGAACTTGATCCATTTATGCCTGTAAAGGGTTAGAATTAAGGGTTTCGTAGCCTAAGGGGGTATTGACATCAAGGACAATTCGAGTACCATTTCCTCATAGAGCCGAAACCATGCATATAGTGAACTGTATAACGGCTTCCCTAGGTATAGCCATACTGAACCTCTGTCCATCAGTAGGTGACAAAATAAGTGTACACAAAGGAGGAGCGTTTTTGAACCTTTACCATTTGCTTTAAATTTTGTTGAATAAAAGCATGTGAACTAGATACCATGCGATTAGGGTCAATTTTTTGAAAATAACCATTTTGGGTAGAAAGCATGTCCGGATAGGATTGTTATTTAATAAAAGCATGCGGGTAGATACCATGATAGGGTAGGTGTTATATTCATCTCTAAATAGCACTTTTATTTGTATCAATTATCTTACCTATACTAACTCATTTTTTCTATTTTTTTGTGTGTCATTTTCATCATTTTTTGCATTGCATTTCATCAACATAACATAATGAAAAAATGTTAATCCGAAAGGGGATATTTAAGAGAAAATTTTCACAAAGAGAGATAAAAGTTTTCAATCAAGTAATCGTGTACACAGATATACACCGAGGGTTAAAAGAAATTCAGAGAGAACAAGAAGAAAACTTGCTTGAAGATCATGCAACATTCGAGACTGAAAAGATGATTCATTGATCAAAGAAGTAATCCAGTAGTAGAGTCTTATCTATGATCGTTTCATCGTTAATTACCAAGGAGTGACGTGTGACTTTAGCACCGTAGGGGCATTAACCGAGATAGGTTATAGAGCGCTTGAGTGGTATAATTTTCAAGGATGAAGCTTTGAGACAAAGCATTAACCCATTTCAAACCCAGTGTCTAGTAAAAAACATGTCTGTAAAATGGACTATCTTGTGATGTGAAGACTTTTATCTGTGGTGAAAATTATTCTATGATATTCACCGTTGGGATCATCAGTTTTTGTATCTGCATTTGCATCTTTGCATTCTGTATGGCATTCATTTAGGCATTTTTACATGCATTAATCATGGATATATGGATTTATCTCTTGGAGGACTCTGAAGAGGTGTTTCTAACTGTGCAACTTCATTCACACAGTACTAAGAATGGAAGCAACATTTGAGAAACTAAAGAAAGAACTGGAAGAGAATTTGCAAAGGATGCAAACAGATTGGGAAGTAAAAATGGAGCAAGTGCAAAAGGCCATTGTGGATCGCATCTTGCAAAACCAAGACAACCTAGTTGACTAAATTGTAGCAAAACTGACTGGGTTCAACCAAGAGGCAAAGAGAAGATTTCCTCGACCATGGAAACTTCTGAATTTGTGATGACACATGCTAATCCATAACTACTCATTTCACCTGACAGGGTTCTGAGCCACCAAGTAGGCTTCTCCACCACTAAAACTCAAGCA